AATTTTTAGGAAATCCGCTTAAAATTCGTGACCGGTGTGATTTGCACCTAGGTTGCTCTGATATCATCTTAAATTTAGCTCTTCTAACCATTACACCAAAACTCTAAAGTTTTGGTGAGGGTCGAGAATTATAGTTTTATATTAATTCTAACAATAACAAACAAAGGACATACAAGATTTTATAGTGGTATGTTTAACAATTCTAGGTCCTCTCTTCTTTTTCACGAAGAGTCTTTCTCACTATATCAAGAGTTCTCCTGAATAACAAATCGATTCACTAGGCTTAGAAAGACCGCACCCTGGAATCTACACGAAACCAGTTGTCTAATCTAACTCTCCATAATGAGTAAATACCTGGCCCTAGCTAGTTCCGATCCTTAATTAATATCGACTTGAGTGCACCGTAAAAATAAGTTTAAAACACAACCAATCAAACATAACTAAGCACAAAAAAAATATGAAAGATCTTACAACCCATTTGATAAACAAATTGTTCTTAGATGGATATAAGTGTAGCACGATGATGGACTATGTAGATGATCATTAGAAGGGCAACTCTCCTCGTTAAAATAATTCGAAGATGTTGTATGCGACGAGAAAGGGTTTTTTGAGGCTCCAAGGGTCAAATCCTTCAATATGATCTCTCTTTAATCAAAATCCTAGAACCCTCTCTTTTATCTATCTTTTTCAATGATAGGTAGCCTTCAATAGATCAAGAAAGTGATAAACGTGGTAGAATTTGGAGATTAAAAGGAACGACAAACGACTGTGGTTAAAACTTAAATTCTACAATCAGCTGACTATGCCATTAACTATATATACCATCCTCTACTCTGATTGGCTAGCACAATTCTTAAGAGAGAAAATCCTCCGTGATCTCGAAATACGAAGAAAAATTCAGAGAAATACGACATAAACAATTCAGGCGATCATATCAGACTCGCGTTCTACACTTATAAGTTATAACCGAGCACATAATAATTAAAGAACTCGAGTTCAATCCATCATGTGTACACTTATACCGTCTTTGAACTCTACAACAATTTTTTATAATTAGATGCAATAACTGAGTAGGTCCTGATACTTGATATGCATATGTCTAAGTATATTTTCACCATATATTTAAAAAAAATTAAAAAAAAAACTATTAAATATGCATATCCAACACAAAATCCCTACTTCCAGAAAGGAAACAAATATTTAAATTTTTTTCCCCCTGTTGTTCTGGGGCTATAAAAAGACAGGCGGAGGACCGGATCCAACATTCTCGATGCGAGGCGGACCTGAAGCCAGCGGACCCGCGCTCAATGTAGAGAACATGGGGGCGTCTTCGCTTTACCAACGGTGAGCTTACCGCAGCCCTTCGCGTCTAATATTTGCTTCCCACGAATCTTTTTCTTTTGCACTAAAAAAAAGGTGAGGGTTAGATTGCTCAAAGATTTGATTAAGTATAGAGAATTGGCAAGTTGCCCGAAGTGGGAATAACCTTTATCTTGAATTAAAATGGTTTTATACGAAACAAGTCAAAAAGCTTGGAGGTGTTGCTAAGAATTTCCTACAAAGACGGAGCTGAAAAGCAACATAATTATTATTTTAAAATAATAGAAAAATTCTATACCGCTCACAACTTTCTCTCTTTCATTTTCTTTCTTTTTTTTTGTTTGTTATTTTGGCTCTATTTGATGTTACTCTTATTTATAAAAGTTGATTTGTTGTTTATCTATACAATGGTTAAAGTGAGTTAACCCTCTATAATTTGCCAAACATAAAAAATATAGAAGGGTTAAACTAACCCCTCTAGAGGGATTCATATGAGTTAACTCATCAAAATGAGGGGTTTAATAATACTCCTATTCAGAAGGATTAAGACTTAACCCGTCTAATTATAAAGAAAATAGTTAAAATCATTGTTATTCCCAAACACTAAAACCGATCACAAGGGCTAAAATAAAACTTATTTAACGGGTAAATAATTTAGTGCTTCAGATTATCGAATGGACTAAGTACATTAATCCTTCTCTTTAACCCCTCTTGCTTAACCCTTTGCCAAACGGAGCCTAACCGTCTAGAAATAAAAAAACGATTTCGATTGTTAAACAATATGTTTACCGTCTGTCCAAGTGTAGATCATATTTAAGGGTGGGTTTTTTCTTAAAGAAATCTGCATTTCAAAATTCCATTAAAAACTATTGGTGTTTTCTTAAGAATTAAGTTTCCGTGTGATAATAAGAATATATTCTTAATGTCGAGCAATTAGACATTTAGACCTATGCGCGCGGAAAGAAATAAAAAAAGGGGTCTTTTCTATGTTTGAGCGGAATCTCTCTTTTGTTACTTTACGGCACACAATAAGATAGTTTTGGAATATTTTATAAAAAAACCCCCATAAGATATTGCAATTCACTTTGAACGTGTCTTCGTTGGATCAATCTCTCTTTTGTTGCGTGGATAGATAGATGCTTGGGATTTGATTCCAACTTCGCTTTCATTCTTGGCTTCTGAAGTGATTATGATCTTGATCCTTCCACAATTCACAGTTTTTTTTTAATTATAATGCTTCTTTCCTTTCTTCTCTTTGTTGACAATCTAGGTACGCAAGTCTCTTTAATCTGTCCCATTTTCTTCCTCATTTATGTATCCATCTAACTATCAAAAAGAAATATTAATGTTTTGTTAATTTACCCGTGCAACCCTCTTAAACGCATGTCGCCAGTTTATTTGTCCACACTTGTTTATTAAAGCAGTAAGAGCCCGTTTGGTTGAAAAAAAAAACAAGAAAGCCTGTCAAAACGTTAGTTTTGACAGGCTTTCTGTCCAAGACCAGAGGTCAAAACCTTCACCCAAACGCGCCCTAAGCATGGTGATATTTGTCCAAAGAGATTTCTGGACACATCATTGACAAAAAAATTTTAAAATTTTTTATGTTGTTTTTGATGGGCATCACTGCGAATTCTATACTTCTATCGTTTAACTCCTCGGATTATCGAAATTTAAGTTTTTACATATTAGTCCTTAGATCTTTAGTATTTTAAAGTTACTCCCGCATGTTCATAAAAACACTGAAGTTTAGATTATTCCAAACTAATCGCTCCAATCAAAATTACCAACACCAAGGTTCAAACGAGCGAATTTTTCAACTATAACTCAAGTGCAATATATCTAAAGGTTAGTTATTATAGATTTAATGCGTCAAAAATGTGAATTAAATGTTGATCCTCATATTACGAAACTCTCAACTGCTCATTTTGCATGAGCTGCTGAGTCACCATCACGTGTCGAAATCTGAACCCATCGCTCGGCACCGAGCTCAATCCCCGGGCGGTATGAATTTGAGTCCACAAGAAATGGACACGCTTCCTTCACCCGCCTCAGCTGACCACATATTCTTTACGTGAGAGTCCCGTACCCCTTCGTCAATTGATAACAAATACAAAATTTAAATGTCGCTCTGTTAATAACACGGTCTCAGCTGAGAAATCAAAGGATAGGCTCAAAGTTGTCCACAGGCTGTCCCTTGCTAGCTTGTTATTTGCGCATCACTGAACAAATTGCATGAGATTTCCCTTATTGACGGCTATGTGGCACAATCTCCATCATCCTCATAAAATAGGAGAGAGTGTGTGAGCTGGTGGGGATTGTGTCACATAGGTGTCAAGGACAAAAATCCCCTTCTTGACATAGGACACCTATTAATCTCTATTCAGATTCATATATTTTTAGAGTAAGTACGCTCAAGCGGTTTTGTTTTTTTAACTGATCTACCAACTCGTTGACTTTATTAATAATATATTTTCTAGAGCGAATTTTAGCTGAATATGTCTATGCTACCATAAAAGGAGGATTGGGTGTTAAAGACTTTTAATTTTTTTTTTGTCCTCTCAAATTTTGATATATTCTTGCAATGTTATTATCTCTAATTAATCTTTCATCAAATAGATATAAACACTTATTAATTATGCGCCTCCTCGGCTTCCTAATTATAATTATCAATAATATTATAACAATCAATTGTTTAAATTAATAAAATAAAATAATTTATTAAATAAGTGCAACAATTATTAGTAGTAACCAATTAAATTATTATTTATGAATTATAAAAAATAATTAAAATAATAGTATAAATAGAATAATATATTACTTAATACTATTAAGAATTGTACTATAATTCAATAAGCAATAAAATAAATAGAATAAACTTCGAATCACACAAATAGTCGTAATTATTTTAATAATATCATATAAATTATGAATTACAATATTTATTTAGTATTATATTATTAAATAAATAATTTAATATTATTTTTAGAGTATTTTCTCAAAGATTAGTACATAAAACATTAAAATTGCAATTAGATCCCCTTTCTTGTAGATTATTCCAAATTAATTGCTCCAATCAAATTTACCAACAACAAGGTTCAATTGAGCGAACGACACTTGCGCATCTTTGTATGTTTTCAACTATAACTCAAGTGATACATAGCTAAAGGTTAATTATAAAATTAATGCGTCAAAAATGCGAATTATATGCTGATTAGAACGAGACTCTCTCTCTCCTCATATTATGAAACTCTCAACTACTAATTTTGCATAAGCTGCTGAGTCATCATCACGTGTCGAAACCTCAACGCATCGCTCGGCCCCGGGCTCAATCCCTGGGCCGTATGAATTTGAGTCCACAAGAAATGGGCAGGCTTCACCAGCCTTTTTTACTTTGCATAACGTACGACGAATCTTAAGAGATCTTGCAATTTGGCACTCCATGACAAAACTACCCCTGAGCCGATGATTTTCTGAACGTAGGAGTGCTTCGGGAGAAAATAAGGTGAGGGTATTTTCGTCATTAAGGGAACGAATCTCAAGGCCCTTAAAGATTTGAGGGACTCCTACACAACTATCAAATATGCGAGGGACTAATAGTTAAATAACCCATAAAGAAAACCTAGATTCCCAAGCAGCGTGGTCGAGAGAGAGCCGTCTATAAATAGCAAAGATAGGAGCGCCGCTTGTCATCAAACCCCGTGTATCCTTTTCTAACCCTAAATTTTTTTTGATTGCCTATTTAAAGCCCCCCAAATCGAGTCCCTCAATTCCATCCATCCATCGATCGATCGATCTTTAGGGTTTCCTTTTGGTCCTTGTAGCTGTTCCCCCCACCCGATTCTTCTTCTCTATTTCGCCCTTTGATCCGCCGAGGAGGAGAAGGGTTCGGATTCTTGCTCCCTGCTCAAATTCATTGATTGTGAGTTTTCTTCTCGATTTTTTTTTGTTCATTAGGTTAGGGTTCTGTTCCTTTGATGAAAAAATCTGTTCTTTTTTCATCTATTGACGGAGTTCACGATGTGCATATTAAATCCGAATTGTTAGCGATCTGTATGATTCTGCTGTGAAATAATTGGGAATTTTAGAAGATTAATAATAATAGGGCTTTATGGTTGTGAACGGTTCATATCTATCTATTTTGTTCTGTTTATTTGGGCTTATTTTGTTTATATGTTTGGTTAATTTACCATAAAGTTTTGTCTTTTATAATGTTTACTTTTTAATGGGAGGCATATGGTTGTTTCACGTTTTAAAGAGTACGACGGTATTGATTTTCCATAGATCAGAAAATATGGTAAAATTTGTTCTATTTACTTTATGCTCTCTTTAGTTGTTTTATTCACTTTTTAAGGTCTGATGGGATAAACTACCTATGTTATTGATTTCTGATATAATTCTGTATGCTTGTATGGTGATCACAATATGAGTTTCTTTTTTTCTTAATTCACTTTATGGAATGTTATTTGAAAGAAACTTTTTTTGGCAACTTCAAATTGCTGTGGTGTCCATTTACTTCTTATTTGTAGCTAGATTGTCAGATCTAACAGAATGATTAGAGTTAGATACTTCGGTTTACCTTAAAATCATCCCTTAAATTATAAATTTTTATACTTGAATGCTTTTCTCGTCATCTGACTTCATAGGCTGTAGTCAAGGTGATTTTTTACCTGCATTTGATACTTACCTTAAAATCATCCCTTAAATTATAATTTTTTATTTGCATATTCTACATGAATGCTTTTCTTGTCATCTGACTTCATAGGCTGTAGTCAAGGTGATTTTTTACCTGCATTTGATACTTACCTGTTTTTAAAATCGTTCATCTCATTGTTTATTAAAAACTATCACATCTTATTATTAAAATTGATGATTCAAAGTTTGTGTAGATGACCACTCATCAACCCTTGATTCCAAGTCTTAGCCTTATCTTCTGTTATGTTCCTTTTTTATCTTAAAACTTTACAATAATTTTAATCCTTTTGTTATCTATTTTACCAATCATTCGCTTATTCCTCCATAATGTTACTAGTATCTGCAGTAATTTGTTCAACCCGTTTTCTCATCACCCATGCCATCTTTTGGCCTTTATACATGCTACTAAATTTACCGGCTTCATTTATCATTTTCATAAAATCTGTATAAATGTTTTATGCTAGTTATTCCTTCATAAGGTTAATAGTGTTTGCAGTAATTTGTTCAACCCCATTACCTGTCTCATATGCAATCTTTTGCCCTGTTTTATATGCTACTTAACTTACCAGCTTCATTCAACATTTTTCATAAAATTTGTATAGCTGGCTTATGTTAGTTAAACGATCTTCTCATCAATTATGATCACTGTTCCTATCTACAAATTCTTAAAAGTTGAAAATAATTGTTTTGTATATAGACGATCTTGCCTGCCCATGATGAGTGTACAACCACATTTCTGATAAAGAATATGTTTTTTTCCACTTTCTTGAGTGCAAATAGATTTTTAATGTGTACACTGCAAATTAATTTGCACTGTACTTGTGAGCACAACATATATGTGCTATTTTACTAGAATTATTATTCTGATGTTTGTTGTCATGACTAGAAGCCTCGTGGAGTGATTAATAGGTGGTGATTTCTGTATCGTTAAACCTAACTGGGATAACTCTATTCTTTATAAGGTTTAAATGGTTTTACGACCAATTGTTTTTTGCTTTTCCTTGACATTTACTTGTCTGTTATTATGGTTCTACTTTTACTACCAGTTAGTATATGTTCTAAATAAACAGCACAAGTAACTCTTGTTTCGCCCGTTCTTTTGTTATTGCAGGATTTGTGAATGTTTTAATGGAGTCTAAAGGTGGCAAGAAGAAGTCTAGTAGTAGTAGTAGTTCCATGCAATACGAAGCTCCCCTAGGCTACAGCATTGAAGACGTTCGACCAAACGGAGGAATCAAGAAGTTCAGATCTGCTGCTTACTCCAACGTAAGAAATAAAAAACAATGTGAACTGAACTTTAGTAGTTCTATTTCTTCTTTTTTTGTTTACATGTTTTAACTGTGACTGTTTTTATTGGTGCAGTGCGTCAGGAAGCCGTCTTGATAGCCCTACTGTTCGACCTCAGTAGTTTAGGGTGTCTAGTATTTCCATTCTGAATTCTGTCAATAATTTACTTTCTGGCTAGCTGCTTTCTAATAACCAAACCAATCTCTCAATCCCTCCCCTTGTTTCTCTCTGTTCTCTCTCTTTCCAACCAATGACAATCATGAATACCTCTCCAATCGGGTTTGAGGGCTTTGAGAAGCGCCTAGAAATCACATTCTCCGAGGCCCCCCTCTTTGTAGACCCACACGGTCTTGGCCTTCGCGCTCTTTCTCGTGCACAAATCGATTCAATCTTGGATCTTGCCTTTTGCACCATCGTTTCCCAGCTCTCAAACAAGGACTTTGACTCCTATGTCCTCTCTGAGTCGAGCCTTTTCGTTTACCCATACAAGATAATCCTTAAGACCTGTGGCACTACAAAGCTCCTCATGTCAATTCCAAGGATCCTCGAACTCGCGTCTGAGATCTCACTTACGCTTATGTCTGCTAAGTACTCTCGTGGCACCTTCATCTTCCCAGGAGCTCAGCCTTCTCCTCACCGTAGCTTCTCAGAGGAGGTTTCCACCCTTGACCAATTCTTCGGCAAGCTTTCATCTGGTGGAAATGCCTATGTCATTGGAGATCCAGCATCACCAAACCGAAACTGGCACATTTATTATGCCACCAATAAGCCTGAGCTTCCAATGTTGACTCTCGAAATGTGCATGACTGGACTCAACACCGAGAAGGCATCGGTCTTCTTCAAGAGCAACCCGGAGTTATCTCAGACCATGAAGATGACTGAGCTAGCTGGAATCTCGAACATTATTCCTGAAATGGAAATATGCGATTTTGAGTTCGAGCCTTGTGGGTATTCTATGAATGCAATCTGTGGACCGGCTGAGTCAACCATCCATGTCACTCCGGAGGAAGGGTTCAGCTATGCAAGCTACGAGGCCATGGGATTTGACCCCATGAAGCTAGATTTTGGCGCTTTGATTGAGAGGGTCCTCGACTGCTTTGGGCCCACTGACTTCTCTGTTGCTGTGACCATCTTTGGTGGTCGTGGGTTAGCGGGCCCCTGGGGCAAAAGCGTCAACGTGGATGGATACAAGAGTATTGATACAGTTGAGCAAGAGCTTGCTGGTGGTGGTCTGCTGATTTATCAGAGCTTCTCTCAATCGGTGGCAATGGTGGGTTCTCCGAGGTCCACCCTTCACTGCTGGGATGGAGAGGAGTCTGAAGAGGATAAGGAGAAGGATTTGAAGGAGAAGGGAGGATTCTGAGATGATGGTTTCTAAGCTTTATTTAAGGTTTGTGTCGGTTCTCTCGTGTTAGTTTTTGGCTATTGGAGCAGCAAAGCCAGTTTGTTTTAGCGTCTATGGTGTGTTTGTGTCTGAGATTTGCAGAACGAGGCAGAGTCTGAATAAAAAGGCTTGTGGTGTGGCCTGAAGCTTCTTCTGTTTGTCTTGTGTCGAATCTCGTGTCGAACCGGATTATGTAATAAGAGCTCTGTAGCAAGTGATGTTTGTGCTACAAGGACCCAAAAAACCTGTGTTAAGTGAAAATCCTGGATGTTGTTTGCGGATATTTGCTTGCATGTTGTGTGATGTTGATTACTGCTCCTGTTTACTTGCCAGTTTATGAGAAATAGTGGAGGTAGAGGGCATCCGTGCTGGGAATATCACGTCATTTCTGAGAGTTTGCTCTTAAAATTGTTATGATGGTGATTGAGATTATCAACTATGGCCTTTTCAGAATAAATAATGTTAGGGGCACATCCTCAACCACACCCCCATAATTTCTATAGTGATAGGGGGTTATGCATGATATTTTTTTAAAAATATCATGCATGGCCCACTAGCATTATATAGAGTGTGGGGGTGTGGTTAGGAGTGTGGTTAAGGGTGTGCCCTTAGTGGGACTCTTTCAGAATTTTCCTTCGATTAGAATCATTCGCTTCTCGTGTCTCTCTTTTCCTATCTTGCACAGGGATATGTTTCTGCTGATTAGTCTATATCATGCTCTTTTTACTCGTAGAAGATGTCCCTAATCTATCGGAGCTCATTTCTTTTGTTTTATAAACATCTTCAATCACTAAATGTCTAATTATATATGCACTCTTTTGTTTTATAAACATCTTCAATCACTAAATGTCTAATTATAATATGCACAATGCATGACACCTAAAATCACGCGTCGAGAACAGAAAAGAACTATAAGGGGCTGTTTGTTTTGTTGTTTTTGAGAGGTGTTAAGAGTGGAAAGCTGACATTTTGTCAGAAAATGTCAGCTTTTCACCTAAAAAAGCCTCTCACAGAGGCGTTTTTGGGTGAAAAGCTGACATTTTCTGAAAAAATGTCAGCTTTCCACCCTTAAAAAAAATTACCCAAACGCACCCTAATAGTATTGAAAATAAAAGCAGCACAAAAAGCATGAAAATGCGAAAGACAAAATTTATGGGGTTTCCAACTTAGAAAATGTCAGCTTTTCACCCTTAAAAAAAATTACCCAAACGCACCCTAATAGTATTGAAAATAAAAGCAGCACAAAAAGCATGAAAATGCGAAAGACAAAATTTATGGGGTTTCCAACTTATCAGCCCACACAGGCCACATGATGCGCGTCATGAGCAAAAAAGATGCGTCTGAAACCGTCACCGCATCGACCTCAAGCAATGCGAGCACCGGAGAAACACGCGCTACGTACTCTCGTCACCAAGATGTCTTTTTTCAGAGTCTTTTTTTTTCCTTCTTGATTACTCTTTTTGTTACTATCAATGAGCTAACATGTTGGAGTTTAAAAATAAAATAAAATAAAATAAAACATGCGTTAACCTTTTCATTTCTAATAATCGAACTTAATTTAATTGTTAGCTTTATGTGCCTGTTATTTCGACGCATAGAATTTACCTACACTTTTACAACGGCGAGTTACACCAAAACACCCAAAGTTTGACCGATTGCACTAAAATATCCAGACTTTAAAACCCCATGGACAAATACCCAAAGTTTGCCCGATACGCACCAAGAAAAAACCCAAAGTTTACAATCCTACATTTAAATACCAAAAAAAAAAAAAAAAAGTTGCACTCTAACACCAAATGCTAGAAAATTCCCATGCGACACTCGGATGCTATTTTTAAAACATTTTAACCCTTGTTTTTTTGTTAAATCTATTATTAAACTTGTCAAAATCCCATTTAAGGATAGAATTACGGTACTTTATAAAGTTTGAGATGTAACTGCTACATATTGGATCTCAGATAACAACTCTCCGTTAATTACCCCTTTTGTCATGATCAAGGAGATAATTTGGAGTTTAATCGTCAGCTTAAACCTCTTCATTTCTAATAATCACATACTTAATTTAATTGTTAAGCTTTTACACAATTATAAGAACTAGTATGCAATACGTGTGTTGCACGTGATGCGTATTAAGAAACTATAAGAGTCAAAATCCACAGTGTTTCCATAATTATGCATTGAACTTATACACAATACACAAGATGAATACCAATTAACCATTATCTCACATGACTTGGGATATTGGCCATAGAGAAGGAACCTAATCAACCATATATATGGTGCGCGTGATAAAAGTGACTGCACAATCAAGAAGAGGTAAGTTGATATTAACTACAAATAAGTAATATTCGGCATCACATTACAAACCAGCAAAGTATTCAATTAGCATGGCGATATACATACAATGAGAGTAAAAAAGAGTCTACATGATAGATTGAAAACATAGCTTTATTATACACTTTTTACAATGAGATGTCTGAAATATCGGTTTATTGGATTTGAGGCATAAATATCTACGTTTTCCCCTTTTGCCCGCATAGAAGCTGAAATCCCCGCATCAAGTCCAGCTCTGTATTGCTCAACGAGAGCTGGATCATTTGGCAATGAGATTAAACCATGCCCAAAATAGTATGGCATCGCATGCCCTACTCTATCATTTGTTTACGAGTATGTCTTTAGATGCTGAAAAGGGATAGTAAACCCTAAATTAGAAATTAATTATATATATCTTAATGAAAGAATATCTAAAAATTATACTTTTCTTTGCCAAGTTTTAAAAATTCAGCCCTTTTTGTGGTTTGGAACTTTGAGGGTGTGATTTGTAATTTTTAAAACTTTGAGAGTATTTTTATAAAAAATACTTATAAGTTGGGTAGTTGTAACTTCTATGTTTCATGTGTCGGTGGTAATTTTTAATTGTCACGATATTTCTTACAACTCTGAAATTTTAAGGTTGTTTTTTACAATTGTTAAAACTATAGATTAATTTTTAAAAATTTTAAATTTTAGCGGTCTACCAATAGTTTTCAGATTTGATGTGTAATGGTTATAAATTTTAAAATTTTAGAGTTTTTTTATAATTTTTAAATTTCCAAAGGGTTTTTTTTATAACTTTGAGGTTAATTTCGGTAAATTTTAAATTTTTAGGTGCATGAGGGTAATCTCTTAAAATTTATTGTTTGTTGTTTACAAATTTTAAATTTTTTATAATTTTAACTTTTGATGGAGTTTCTATAATTTTTAGGACACTGAGTGTATTAATTAAAAATTTAAATTCATCGGATGCTGCTGTTAATTTTCTAATTTCATGTTTGTTATTTTAAGCTTTGAAATATCAAAAAATTTTAGGTGTATTATGGTAATCCATTGAATTCATTTATGTTGTTTGTAAGTCTTGAAATTTTAGAATTTCAAGTGCTTGTTTGTAATTTGAACTTTTGATGGTGTTTTTATAATTTTTGAGATAATGAGATGTTATTCGCAAATTTTAAATTCTTCGCTGTTAATTTCTTGATTTTATGTTTGTTGTTTTAAGTTTTTAGACGTCGGGATAGTTTTATAATTTTAAAATTTTTAGGGTATTTTGTGTAATTTTAAAACTTTTAGATTTTTTTACACTACTTTATGTATTATAATGTATTATAGTACGTTAGCTACATATAATTTCTTTATCTTTACAAACTAATACCATAAAACGATGTTTTAAATATTTTATTAATATAAATTTTTTTTAAACTGTTAAGGTATAGATAGTTCACGTAGGATTAGGATATAATAATTATGATTACGTTTAATTTCTTTATTTTTACAAACTAATACCATAAAAATATGTTTTACATATTTTATTAATATAATTTTTTAAATTATTAAGCTATAGATAATTCACGTAGGATTAAGATAGGATATAATTATGATTAGGATAGATTAAGACATAAATGAAATATTTAAAATAGTGAAGGGTAATATTGACCATAGAAAGATTTTTCCGAACTCGTGATTTTAAAGAGAGTACTAGGTTTTATGCACGTGCAATGCACGTGGTCAAATATCATGATTAAGTATATTTTGTTTATTTCCTTACTAAAACTTGTTCCTCAGTTCTACTTTGATGGTTTTTGCTTACTTATATCTCTAAACTTTAGCATTGTGATTATTTATTTTCTTTAATATTCGTTTAAATGAACTACACCCAATTTAAATTTTTATATTGATAATTGAATTGATAGAAAATAAATAAAATCTGAAATCAATTTGAATTATCATGTCATTGAGACCAACATTAAACCAAGCTTGACCTGAGAAAATATAGCATTGTAAAAGTGAAAAATACTTCAAAAAATAACGTTCTAAAAGAAAAATGAATAATTAAAGCTCATAAGACAAGATGATTGGTTAAAAGTGGGCTAAAATGACACAAAAGATAATATGGAGTTTGTTCCTAATCCTTGATAGACTTTAAAAATTTTATAAAATAAAGATTAATACTAAATCTAGTATACTTTTATATAATGAAAACATCCACATAAACATATAAAAGTACTAAAAAAGTTTATGAAAATCCCTTCCAAAAATTCCTAATTTACTCCAAAAAAACCTATTCTATAAAATCTTCAGAAAATAGTGTATTTCATTCCTTTTGTTTTATTTTTTATTGAGACGTTATCAATCCTTCTCCACCTTTATCTTTTTTGATAAAATTAGACTACTGACGTTATCAATCCTTCTCCACCTTTATCTTTTTTGATAAAATTAGACTACTTTTAGATGCCAAAAAAGGATAGTAAAACCTTAAAATAAAAGTTAAATTTACATATCTTAATGAAAGAATATCAAACAACTACTCTTTTTTTTGCTATGTTTTGAAATTTTAGTCGCTTTTTCATGATTTTGAATTTTTAAGGGTTTGTTTTGCAAATTTTGAAACTTTTAGAGTGTTTTTTAAAATTTTTAATTTTTAAGTTGAGTGCTTGTAATTTTTATGTTTCATGTGTTGGTAGTAAGTTTTTGAATGTCAAAATATTTCTTGCAACTCTGAATTTTGAGGGTGTTTTTTGCAATTATTGAAACTTTAGATTGTTTGTTACAAAATTTAAATTTTTAGCAGTCTGCTGATAATTTTTAGATTTGATATGTATTGGTTATAAGTTATTTAATTTTATGGTTTTGTGTGTTTTTTAAATTTCGAAGGAGTTTTTCAGAATTTTTATAACTTTGAGGTTATTTTTTATAAATTTTAGTGTCTGATAGTAATTCTTTGAATTCGTCTTTGTTGTTCGCAAGTTTTGAAATTTTAGAATTTTATAGTGCTTTTTATTATTTTAACTTTTGAGGGTGTTTTTATATTTTTTAAAATATTGAGGGTTTCATGTTTGTTGTTTTAAGTTTTGAAACGTCTGGATATTTTGTGTAATTTTATACTTTTAAGGGTGTTTTGTGCAATTTTTGAAACTTTTTGGGATTTTTTGCAATCTTCATATATTATAGCTTATTATTTTTTAAATTATTGACCTGTAAGTAGTTCATATAGGATTAGGATAGGATATAATTATGATTATAATAAATTAATTTTAAATAAAATATTCAAATAGTCAAGGGTAATATTGACCCTGGAAAGATTTTTTCCGAACTCGTATAATTTTGAAATCTGATATGTATCGGTTATAAGTTATTAAATTTTAGGGTTTTCTGTGTTTTTTTAATTTTCAAAGGAGATTTTCAGAATATTTATAACTTTGAGGTTATTTTTTACAAATTTTAGTTTTTTAGTGTCTGATAGTAATTCCTTGAATTCGTCTTTGTTGTTCGCAAGTTTTAAAATTTCAGAATTTCATAGTGCTTTGTTATTATTTGAACTTTTGAGGGTGTTTTTATAGTTTTTAAAATATTGAGGGTTTCATATTTGTTGTTTTAAGTTTTGAAACGTTTGGATGTTTTGTGTAATTTTATACTTTTATAGGTGTTTTGTATAATTTTTAAAACTTTTTGGGGTTTTTTGCAACCTTTATATATTATAGCTTATTAATCTTTAAATTATTGACCTGTAAGTAGTTCACATAGGATTTAAGATAAGATATAATTATGATTATAATAAATTAAAATTTAAATAAAATATTCAAATAGTTAAGGGTAATACTAAACATGAAAAGATTTTTTCGAACTCATACTTTTAAAGGGAGTATGATATATATGATATGATATGATATATATATAATTTACGGTAAAAGACACACTTAACGATAATTTGTACCTATTTATTTGTCCATTTAAATGAAGGCACCCTCTGAAAAAGGTGTTCGAAGTTTTTCATTTGAAGTGTATTTCCTGAATCTTACACGATAATATTTCCTTAAAAAATGATTAACACCTTGATCACATTTCTCCTCCCCACAAGCGAGCTCAGCTCACTCTCTGCTCGTAAAACTCCCTCCGCTATAAAATAATAACCTCCTCGCTCCCTCATCGGATCCAATCACCAACCCCCTACCCAAAAAAATGGCAGCAGGTAAACTCCCCCTAAACCCTAACCCTAACCCTAACCCTAATTCTCTTTCTGACTCCCTCTCTCTCTGTGTATGTGCGCGCGCAGGTAGCGATTCCCCCTCATCCTTCCTCTCCGACAAATCGGCCAAGATCTTCGTCGCGGGCCACCGGGGCCTCGTCGGATCCGCCATCTACCGCCGCCTCAAAACCCTAGGCTTCACCGACCTCCTCGTCGCCTCCCACTCGGTGCTCGACCTCACCCGCCAGTCCGACGTCGAGTCCTTCTTTCTCCTCGTCAGATTGACGAACGCTTCATTTGGTTTGTATTCTGTGCGAGTGACCGATTTCATCGCCGTCAACCTCCAGATCCAGACCAACGTCATCGACGCCGCGTTCAGATCTGGATCCGTCTCCAAGCTGCTGTTCCTCGGATCCTCTTGCATCTACCCGAAGCACGCCCCTCAGCCGATACCGGAATCTGCGCTCTTGACGGGCCCGCTTGAGCCCACCAACGAGTGGTACGCCGTCGCCAAGATCGCAGGTAATTAAGGTTGCAAACGAATCAAATCGAACTTTTGAAATGCCCATATTTGCGTTCCTTTTTGAAATGTTAGAATTAGAATTTGAACAGGGTTTGCGGATAAAAAAAGAAGAAGAAGTAATAATGCAAGTTACCTGGGATTAAATTCGAATGAGTATTTCATAGTTTATGTTTGGTTAAATTATGTGCTTCCTTAAGAACCGAATAGTTAAAGACGAATGATAGACAAACCATTTGTCGGGTTTCGTTTCCGCTTATGATTCGCAGGGATAAAGATGTGCCAGGCTTATCGGATCCAACATGGTTTTGATGCAATATCTGCCATGCCGACTAACCTCTACGGTGAAAATGATAACTTCCACCCTGAAAATTCCCATGTGCTGCCTGCTTTGATTCGAAGATTTCATGAGGCTAAGAGCAACAACTCGAAGGAGGTGGTTGTTTGGGGGACTGGTTCGCCGTTGAGGGAGTTTCTTCATGTTGATGATTTGGCTGATGGGTTGGTGTTCTTGATGGATAAGTATTCGGGAGTCGAGCATGTGAATGTGGGGAGTGGGAAGGAGGTGACTATTAAGGAGCTTGCAGAGATGGTGAAGGAAGTGGTTGGGTTTGAAGGGGAGTTGATTTGGGACTCGTCGAAGCCTGATGGGACACCGAGGAAGCTCATGGATAGCTCGAAGCTGGCTGAGATGGGGTGGAGTGCAAAGATCGGGTTGAGAGAGGGGTTGGAGGAGACTTACAAGTGGTACTTGGAGAATGTCGTCAAGCAGCAGTGAGGCTTACTTACAAGTGAGTGATTCTTGGTGCCCATTTAAAAAAAAAAAATTCTTAATTTAGTTATGTGATTGTTGTTTTGTATTGTTATATTTGCGGGATTGTAATTTTAGTTGATTGGATGGATACTCATGTTACTTGATGAATAATAAGTTTAAGCTTTTAGTTTTAGTTGATGATATATCAATTCAACTAAGATATTGTTATAAGGTGCAACCTTAATAAATTCAGTGTTTCCTTTACATGCAACATTGCTTTTGTTTCTGGTATTGAAAGAAATTGTTATGGAGAATTGAGTAATTTGAATGTTTCATTTGGCTTTGCACCATGATTACCAGCTGGCTAATTTTGATTAGGAAATCTTTATCCTCGAACAAGATAGAAAGAAAATCCAGCTGACCTCCTGTGGCTACCGCTCCGATCCTAGTATTTGTAGTAAATTGATTTTGTTTTTCTTCCCCTGCTAACTGCTGCCATGAGGATGATATGCGCCTGTTTCATATTTGATGTTTCTTTCCTAGAGTGTTCCTCTGGAATCCTAATCTAACTGTGAATCCATGGTGATGTTAGAAGTCTGGTTTATAACCATATATAATTGTTGAATTTTGTTTCTAACCTGTTCCTACTTGATCTGTGTAAGGTCGCGAAATGTGTACTGGGGTTGGTGCAATCATAACGCAGGGTGTATGCTTATAGTTGCGAGACTAAGGTTCATATTTGTCCTGATTTCACGTCTTTTTGTAAATACTACATTATAATGTACGTACATGTGGCCTGTGGGAGGTTATGGTTGTCTGTCATTTGCAACATACTTACTCTTAAGGAATAATGCCATCTGAACCAATTTTTGATGAGGTGGGCATATACTGTTCATGAGCTCAATAAAATCCCCTCCATTGCTAATAAGTCTAGCTTGGAAAAGGGTAGTCCCATTAAGTCTAGCTGCCTATTCAAGGTAGCTATTCATGAAGATAAGCGTATGGGCTGCAAATGTAGCGCGCTATCGATGAATTTTGGTCTATATTTCTATTGATGTGCTTTGGGAGGTGATTTTTCACGACATAACCTATTGAATCGCAACTTGTGCAAGTTGCGAAATCTTGCACTTCCTTGTCCCATTTTCTGTTGCAAGCTTATGTTTTAATGCCAAACTGTCATTAGTTGTCTTGCTTGCTCTCTAATTGTTTTAGTGCATACCAATGACAGTGTATGATCCTAAGACATCCATAATTCATCAAACTAGGTTATCATTATCAGATGAGTTCCTTATAACTGGGCGTTCTTGTTTGTTTGATCCAAAAATGAATATTTATAGTCTGTATGCTGTAAAGACCATCTTTTGTGCAAAATCTAACTGTTCTTTCTTTTCTTTTTTCTTTTCTTTTTTCCGTTCTTTCTTTTCTTATAGTATGGTATAAGAACTATGCCCAGAATGACATCATTGTTCTTGATGAATGGGTTGGGTTATGGGAGAACCTGGTTTTTTTCCAGAAAGAAGGAAAATTTTATCTGAATTTGCTGTTTCCAGGATTGAACTCTTGTAGCTTTTTATAGAAGCACTGCTCTATTATGATACTTTCAATAGTAAAAGATCCTGGAAGCGTCGTCTCTATAATTTACGACGTAAGAAATACAAAGGATCCTTTTGCCGATATATTTTGCTTTAGTTATTGCGTTCTATAGACAATTTTCTGGCTTCTGCTTTCCCGGGGTTGTGATTTTTCTTTATCTTCTGATGCGGTTTTTGCAGGTTCAATTTTATCATTTCAGAAATGATTTTCAAAAACTGAAGTTCCTCAGATATCTAGAACAAAAATGGAACAGTGTGCACAAAAGAAATTCATTTCGTGATGCTAATAAAAATTTAAGGGGAACTAATGACAGCTTTTTCAGACGTTTTCTTATGATGTTTGAATATTAGTTAGGAAAACATGTTGATCTGTGTGTTGATTTTATTTGTCTTAAACCTGTCCTCTCCTATTATCTGATGCTTAGAATTCTGATATAACCCCTTATGAATATTGGAAGGGGAGAACTCCTAATCTGACCTTCTTTTGGATTTGGGATTGCTTGGTTAAGGTAGCTTTTCCCGAACCTAAGAAGAGGAAAATTGGTTCTAAGACTATTGATGCTGTTTTTATTGGATATGCACTAGATAGTAATGTTAATAGATTTTTAGTCATTAACTCTGAAATCAGTAACATATCCAACAACACTATCATTGAAGCAAGAGATGCAGTTTACTTTGAAAACATCTTTCCTTTCAAGTCTAATATCTTTGAAAATCCTATATCTTCTCTTCCTTCTAATCTACCATCTTCCGGTTCTTCTCAACCTTTTGATATTGAACCTCGAAGGAGTAAAAGAGTTAGAATTCAAAAGGACTTTGGAGAAAACTTCTTTGCCTTTCTTGTTGAAGGTGATCTAAGCTCATTCAAAGAAGCAATGGATTCACCTGAATCTCCTTTCTGGAAAAAAGCCATTGATAATGAGATTAAATCTATTATGAAAAATCATACTTGGATACTCATCGACTTACCTTCAGGTTGTAAACCTGTTGGTTATAAGTGGATATTTAAGAGGAAACTTGGAGCTGATGGTTCCATTGATAAATATAAAGCTAGACTAGTAGCTAAAGACTATACTCAGCAAAAGAGCATTGATTATTTTGATACATATTCCCCTGTAGCCCGAATCTCAACTATCCGAGTATTATTAGCTTTTGCTGCTATCCATAAGCTGATCATACATCACTGTAGCCCGAATCTCAACTATCCGAGTATTATTAGCTTTTGCTGCTATCCATAAGCTGATCATACATCAGATGGATGTCAAACTCAACTATCCGAGTATTATTAGCTTTTGCTGCTATCCATAAGCTGATCATACATCAGATGGATGTCAAAACTGCTTTCCTAAATGGTGATTTAGATAAGGAAATCTATATGCACCAAGCTGAAGGCTTCATTGCCATGGGTCAAGAAAACAAAGTCTGCAAACTTGTTAAATCTTTGTATGGTCTTATACAAGCTCCTAAACAATGGCACCGGAAATTTGACAGAGTCATTGCCCAATATGGTTTCACTGTGAATGAACATGATAAGTGTGCTTATTCGAAATTATTAAACAATGACTATGTTATCCTTTGTCTCTATGTTGATGATATCCTAATCTTTGGAACAACTCTTGAATTAATTTTAAAGGTTAAGGATTATCTCTCCAAGAACTTTGACATGAAAGACTTAGGTCTTACCGACATGATACTTGGATAAAAATCACTAGAGGCACTAAAGGAATATCCTTGAGTCTTTCTCATAGTATTGAGAAAATGTTAATCAAATTCAATTTTCATGACTCTAAACATGTCTTCACACCTTATGATTCTTCTATATCTTTGAAGAAGAATGAAGGTGAACATGTCTCCCATCTGAAGTATTCTCAGCTGATTAGATCTCTCCTATACATAGCCAACCGGACCAGACCCGATATAGCTTATGTTGTAGGGAGACTGAGCCGGTATACCAGTAACCCTAGCAAAGATCACTGGTCTGCCTTAGAAAGAGTATTTAAATACTTAAAAGGCACAGTTGACTATTGCTTGACTTACGCTGGGTACCCTGATGCTATAGAAGGATATAGTGGCGCTAACTAGGTCACATATTCTAATAGTGTAAAGTCTACATCTGGATATGTATTTTTTTTTTTATAGTGTTGTTGTATCTTAGAAATCCTGTAAGCAAACAGTAATTGCCAGGAGCACCATGGAATCTGAATTGATTGCTCTTGATTCCACGTGCACAGAAACATAATGGTTAAAAGATCTACTTTCTTCATTTGGTCCCTAAACCTTTGTTGATGCTCGTGAATAAACAGTAAATGGGGGTTTCCCGCAGTCGGATGCAGTTTCAATTATGGCGACGGTGGGGAAGAGGGAGAGGATGAATGTTGGGTCCGACTCCTCTTCCGACTTTATGCCCGATCCTGAGCGCGCAGGGTGGACTGATAGCCTGCACATGCAAGAATCGCAGGAATATGTGGCTAGTTTCCTCCGTGGTACCTCCGACGGTCAAGTCAGTTGGTGAACTTGGGGAGAGTTTTTTGAGAGGCCCCTAGGCCATTGAGGTCCTTGCAGAGGGTTTTCTCTTAAGAGTTATTAAAATGCTCTTGATAAAAAGAAAAGAAGATCCCAAAGGGGGGTAAAGCTCAAGTGTAAGAAGAAGCAGAGAGCAGCCCCCTGCACTTACCCTTCTTACCTCCTTTATATAGCCTCTGAGACTTTTTGCTTTTCTCTTGCACAGGAGGGCGGTTGCAGGGTGGGCAGATAGATTGCTGAGTCATCCTTCTCCTTCCAGATGTCGGCTGATGATTAGAAGGGAAGTCATTCGAATACAGGAGAGGATTGTCCTCTCAGTATCCTGGATTTGTTAGAAGAGGTAGGGTATAGGATAGGTCGTCTGTGTGGCCATCCTTCTCTCTACAGGTGGTGGCTGGCGATTGGAGGAGAAGTCATTCGTGCACAAGAAAGCATCATGGCAATCTTCTGGGAAATGACTTGTAAGCCGAATAAACCGCTGGGGCACGAGGGTTGTCAGAATAGAGATCTTGATGGGACTAATCAGTACTGTTGTGTCGATTGACATTTGAAGTGAACTTGGTCGGCTCTTATCTCTTTAGTCGAGGCGGGTTGATCTGCGAGCTATCATTATGATTTAGCGACCCGACAGTCGAGTGAGCTTCAGGTCGGGTGTATAGTCGAGTCGTCTGCTCGAGGAGTCGTCTTAATTGCGAGGGGGCGACTGATCCCGCACTTCGAGTCGGTCATGATGACCTGTTGATCGAAATATGGCTTGTTTGCTCGTCTGGTCGAGGAACTTGGCCTTGACTGGGCTTTTGAGCCTCTAAGTTGATTTGGACCATAGCTCTCTTGGGCTTATGCGGACATTCTCCCGATATTTTTATTTTAGTATGGTGACTGACCATAACAACCTTCACCTGCAATTTCTATTCATTCGGATTCTAGATCTACCATAGAGCTTCTAAAGCAAGTGCATGTCAATAAAAAACTGAACATACATATTCAAATAAAATATAAATCTGTACAACGTCTGCTAGGCAAAGTTGTGATCTTAGACTTTATAAAGACCAGGAGTGTGGTTCTAGATTCATCGAGGGAGATGGGGTTAAGCCCATAAGTGGGGCCACTGACAGTGATAACCCAACCTTTATTTAGAGATTTAGTCTCAATGTAG